GGGACTATCAGAGGTGATTGTTAACGTGATAGCTTTGTGGGCCCGCCGTCCTATTGAAGAGGACTGACGGGGGAAATTTGGAGGAGACTATCAGAGGTAATAGTTAACTTGATAGTTTTAAAAGATCCATCGTCAAGTTAAACGAGACTGATGGAGAAATGACTATCAGATGTAACAGTTAACTTGATAGTTTTATGGGCCCGCCGTCCTATTGAAGAGGACTGACGGGGGAAATTTGGAGGAGACAATCAGAAGTAATAGTTAACTTGATAGTTTTGTGGGCCCGCCATCCTATTGAAGAGGACTAACGGGGGAAGTCGTAGGATATGAGGAAATGGTCTCCACTACCAAGGCATCTTGGTCATCATCTCCTCGAAATCCATGCGGGTCTTCGTCACCCATATGCTTGAGCATGCTATCGACTTGTTCTCCTTGGCGGAGTAAGTCTTTCCATGAGTGAGCTTCAACAGCGCCCATATTGGACAGAACGCTGATGGAAAGATTGTTCCGGCACATCTCGATGAGTGTGGCCTCGGAAACTCGATCGCGGGAATGCAGCGATCGGTTTCTGAATCTCTTGACAAAGCTGCTTACAGACTCTGTCTTCTTCTGCTTCACAGTTAGCAGGGTGGCCATAGATACTTCTGTGTCATCGTCGAAGAATCTGGCCACGAAGAGCCTTTCCATGTCCTTCCAGCAGGTGATGGACCTAGGCTCCAATCTGCGAAACCATTCAAAAGCGACCCCCTTGAAGGTACCAAAGAACAGTCGAGTCATAATAGGATCGTTTCCCACTATGTGTCCAGTTTGCGCCTGGAAGTAGTAGATGTGCTGGGTAGGAGAACCCTTGCCATTGAACTGCAGGAGGTCCAGCGGCTCGAAGTTTGCTGGGTAGGAGACCGCATCCCATTCAATTGGATACGGTCTGACAAACCCCAGCTTGTTCACATGCTTCTGGAGCTTCAAGGCGTCGAGTTGACTTTGGAGATCGTCAAACCTCTTGTCTCTTGGGTTATGGCCCAAAGATGATGCTCCTCTAGATGACTCGGATGAGGAGTGAGAAGGAGTAGGCACCCGCTCTTTATGCTTCAAGGATTTATGCGAAGCCCGCGAAGTCCTCTCTCTCTTCCTCTTCTTCTCGCTCAGGAGCTGCTCCAACATCTCCTTCAGGGAGTCGATGGTTGCTTGTTGCTCGTCGCGTGCCTGCCTCGAATTGAGCTTGAAGTCTGCGACGTTGCCGTTGCCGAGCAATCGTCGTCGTCGTGGTCAGAGACGGACGTCAGATCCGTGCAGGCAAACAGAGTGGCCACCCCCATTTGGGCGTGAGCGTGTTGGCGAAGTTTAGGCTGGCGAGGTTCGCCCATCAGGTGAGATTGGTACAGTGTGCCTGCGCCTGTCTGGCGAGCTGTTGCTTCGCCTTTCTGGCGAACTTGAACCGTCAGGCGAGATTGGTGAAGTCCGCTTGTTTGACGAAGACCTCTTGAACTGCAGAGTTCGCCAGGTGTTCCTTTCAAGCCTGAATAATAATTCAGGCTGTCGTGGGGGATGAGGGATTGCGCCTCAAGACGAGCGAGAGCTTTTCGTCGCCGTTGTTTGGATCTTTTTGAACGAGGAGCGTTCATGCCGACGACGGAGGCGTAGTCTGCGTCGACACGAATGGTTGATTCCTCTTGCACAGGGGTCTGCGAGGATCGTTCATCACGAATGGTTGATTCCTCTTGCACAGGGGTCTGCGAGGATCGTTCATCGACCCATTCAGCAGCCCCTAAAACTGCATTCTCGAATCTCGGCTCGGCCTTAACTGGTTTGAGGGGAAAAGAACCCCCTGCCTCGGCTTGGGCAGATCCCTCAGGCTTGGTTGCCTCGGCCTCTTGGGGCTGGGCCACCCGCACGACTCTGTAGTCATCGCGAGATGTATTGCCGCCAGAAGAGGACGATTGTAAGTACCCCTCGAATTTGATCACAAGGGACTCAATCGTAGTCCCTGCAGCAACTTCGTCGGACTGTGCCACCACCAATTCATCTGAATGAACGGATTCTCCCACTGTGGTCGCCATCTTCTATAGGTGTAAATTTTGATCTCCCGAAAACAGGGAACTTCGTTTGTATTGATAAGAAGGCTTATTACAAACTAATAAATCAAATGTTTATAACAGAAGCGGAGGGAAGGCCCTCCTTGTTTAACGTGGGTTCCTCGGTGGCGATAGGACGCCTCGCTCGGTGCTCGTGCCGAGTCTGCTTCCCTTGGACGATCCGATCGAAGTTGCTACCGGAGCTTCAGTACACAGTAGAAACTCGGTTCGATGGAGTTTGGGTCTTCTAGTTCACCGGCGATCGGGGCTCAGAACTAGGAAGTGGCGCTGCAATGCAAAAGTGATGCAGAGGGTTTGTCGTCGACTCCGTTGGGAGTCGAGAGCTAGTGGTTCAGTTAACTGATTGAATTAATCAATTAACTATGTGTGTACCTCTTTCCTGTAGCCGGGCGAGGTTCTTAAATAGAGGAGAGATGGCATGGCCACTCCTTGAATCATGGGATGTGACCATACACTGTTGAGAGACATCTTGTCGCTCCTCTGTACTACGAACCGTCACTCGATGGGTTGTGCTTCACGTCCTGTCGCCTAGGAGTGGGAAGGTCCACCCTCGTATGTAAGACAGCGGTTGTCCATTACTCGAGTGGATTGGGCCAGCTCACTGTGCGCTGGCGGTTCCAGCTCTTGACTTGGACCGATGAGCTGAGTTGTATTTATGAACGCACAGGTTGATCTGGCACCTGTCCGATCACTCGTACTATGCGCGGCCATTCGGCGGGCCTGGAGTACTGTGCCTTCTCTTTTGATTTGTGGGATTTGACCACTGATGTAACTGTTCCCATGCTCCAAGTGGGCAGTTGACAGTGAGCTGGCGAGTCTGCAGCTTGGGTCTGCAGGCGAGCTTGGGACTGCAGGCTGACTTGGGTCTGCAGGCGAGCTGAGTCTGCAGGCGAGCTTAGGACCGCAGGCAGACTTGGGTCTGCAGGCGATCTTGCAGGCGAACTGGGTCTGCAGGCGAGCTCAGGTGTGCAGGCAGACTTGGGTCTTGATCGTGCAGGCGAAATTCGAGCTGCAGGCGAGCTCCTGAGCATGGATCGAAGAATAGGCTGTAACTTTCAAACCGTAAGTCGGAATTAGACGAATTATATATGAAAATCGCCTATCTCGACGAGATGGAGCCATCCGAACCAAGCCAAAGGCTTTGGTTCGCTTCCTCCGTTTCGTCAAATTCCTTACGGTTTGGGAGATATCTGTGTTTTCCCCTTTTTCTGCTATTTCAGGCGAGGTTTTAGCAGTTTTGTTCTGAACTTCTCTGATAAGGATTAAAGGCAATTTTTATTGCCTACATTTCAGTCTATCAGTTGTACTCTCTTTTATTCAGTTGGAACATGATTATGTTTATTTGGATATCTCTTTTTTTAACATGTTCATTGCATTATTACCTTTATTTTATCTGCTTATACCTACACTTCTTTTTGTTTAATTCCACTAGAGAGATATTACTGCGATGATGACATATGTTTTTGCATAATTTGGGTGCATGACAGGTTTAACATCCTTAGGTGTTAACCGCCGGCGAAGGTCCAGTCCAAGAATTGACCAGAGATCACCGGAGGTGACGTCGGTGGCCAGAAAAGGTGCTATTTCCTTTTCCTTCTACAAGAATTCATAACTAAAAAAATAAAACACTCACCTTGTTGAAGCTTTCCTCCTCAATTTCTCCCTCAAACTTCTTCTAGAGCTCTTTCTTTCTCTTTTGTTTGTGTGCATGAAGCTATAAGAGATTGATTTACGTAGGGTTTTCAAAGTCCTTTTCAAAGGCTCTTTGCATTCTATAACTCCAATCACATTTATTCCTATTTAACACATTAAATTACCCAATTGAAACATGAGTTAGAACTAGAGTTACAAAACCTTTGATTTTCTTTTTTATTTCTCAAATGATTAAAAAAAATGATTCTCTACATTCTGCATGTTAGCTATGTAATTACGTATTCCATTTGAGCCCTATAAATTTAATTTGGGTAAACTATACTAAAGCTTCAAGAGCTTTCAGCATATTGCAGTTAATCCTTTATAACTTTTAAAATTGCACTAAGCCCTAAATAACTTTTAGAATTGTGCAAAACCTCCTTTAAATTTCTTTATTTTATAGATAACCCTCATAAATTAAAAACAACAACATATAAAAGTAGTTTGAAGGACAAATTTGGAGGGAAAATAAGAATTAGGGTATGAGATCCTAACTTGGGTGCGAGCAAGAGGAGAATGAATGACAAAAGGTAAGAGATTTCTATTTTTAGGTTGAAAATATACAAAAAGGTCATACAAGATTTTTTTATAAATAATTATGGATTATTTTGATCTTTTAAGTAACGCGAGTTGTACATGCTAAGTCAGATGTAATGAGGGGGTTTTCTGCAAATCACAAGTAATAAATAAGATATCCTAAACTGAAAATTCCGTCTAGGATACTCAGAATTTCGTCTAGGATGCGTGTCCTAGACGGAATTCTGTCTAGAATACGCGTCTAGAAAGTTTCCGTCTAAGATGTAGTATTCTAGACGGAATTTCCGTCTAGAATACATCCTAGACGGATTATTCTAGACGGAATTAAAAACCGTCTAGAATACATCCTAGAAGGATTATCCTAGATGGAATTTCCGTCTAGAATACTACATCCAAGACGGAAAAAAATTCCGTCTAGGTTGGATATCCTAGACAGAAATTTCCGTCTAGGATACTCATCCTAGACGAAATTTCCGTCTAGGATGTTTTTTTAATTTTTTTAATTTTTTTAAAAAAATAAACATCCTAGACGAAATTTGAGCATCCTAGACGGAATTTCCGTCTAGGATGCTATGCTACAGTAGTTTTTTTTTTTTACAAAATCTAATTTGAGTGCATGTACACAATATTGAACAATAACAAATTTTATTTATATCCAATACAATCTAATTATATTCCAATATCAAATCCAATTATATTCAAATAATACATTCACCAAAATACTAGAGAGATATATAAATTGTTTACAAACTTTTACATAAATTATTTACAAACTTTTACATTCGCCAAAATACCAGAAATGCTCATTAGTCTTGTTTGTAATAAGGTTTCCCGTCCAGCTATGAGCGAGCTCATGAGCTACCACCTGCATAGGCACAGAAAGAGAATAATCCATCAAGCAATGGCTTCAATTAAGCAATGGCTTGGCACAGAAAGAAAAAAATACTAATCTTTCTTAACAAAAGCAATGGCTTCAATTAAGCACAATAATAATTTTGATCTAAATACATCATGATGTTTTTCAATACTTATTTACATCAGAAATGTTCATGAAAGAAATTCAAGAAATGACTTGGCTCAAAACTCTTTTCCTGTGAAAGGAAAAAGGATTGCAACTAAGCTCTTGTAGCAACAATGCTTTGCCAAATATTCAGAAACAATTTAAAATGATAACTTTAATACGAAAAACAAACAAAAGAACGATGAAGTAACACAATATTACAGCTTCAGGACAACTGCCGCCAGTAATTAATTTGTTACAATGACACTTCTGTGTATCAACCTCTATAAATTTCAAAAGCTTGTGAATGGAATGTCCAATTGAAATAAACGCTCAATATGGCTAATCAAACTAAGCGAAAAAATTCATAATAGAATAAACATAAAAAAGTATATAGTCTCAGTATCTTTAACCAACAAACAACACCAACACCCTTTGACATTTACCCAAAGTTAAAGTAAACATAATATAATTCTCAAATGCATATACATAATATTCAAACTTATACGTACATAATGCATACATATGTACTTACTTATGCATACATATAAACTTATGTACATACATGTTTCACAAAAAATCAACCGTGAATATAGCCACATTTCACAAATAGGAAATAACTTCAGCACTTGATGCAAGAATATCACAATCAGAAAGGTGAACTTTTAAGTGGGAAAAAGACTCACATTTTTCAGCACTTGATGCAAGAATATCACAATCAGAAAGGTGAACTTTTAAGTGGGAAAAAGACTCACATTTCTCGAAACAAACTCGGGATAATTATCCTGTAGAGTTTGAAGAGCTTACTTCATGGTATCCCTCAGCTCCTTCTTCGAAACGCCAACTGAATCCTTCAAATCAGTAACCTGAAGCAAATTACAAACCCCTCCAGGCCTCAAATCAACAACTAAATGACGAGATCATTAATCAAATTAATAACAGATTCAAAGGATTCTTATTGAAACACATAACGTAGTGAAATCAACAACTATCGAACAAAATGAAATGTGTGTGTGGGGGTGGGGTGGGGTGGGGGGGGGATTCTTATTTAGACGGAGGTGTTTCATTAAAACCTTATTCATGAAATGGGGAGATACATCACAATGCTATAGGAATTTTTTGTTCTTTAAAAAATTATAAGAAAAGTCAGGCCTAAATATTTATAGTAGAATATATGAGTCGATCCTCATACTTATGTTCCTAAATTTGCAGCAAATATTTTTCAGCAATCGAAGTTTGCATCCCTTTTATAGTAAAATACTTTTTTAAGGAATACTTTTTCCTGATGATGCAAAATTCGGAGAAGCATGGGGAACAGTCTAAATGTAAGTATATTTAGAAACAAAATCCTAAGTTCTGAAGTTTAATGGAAATGCCTTGGACAAGGACTAAATGCATTAATCAAAACATGCTCATATTCCAAAATGATGGTTTAATATGTTGGAAATTAAATCAAATAATTAAGATTATAGCATGAAATAAATCCGAAATTAAAAATAAATGAGAGATAAGAAAAATCAGGCCTGACGGGAACAGTCGTGTAATCACTGCCCTAGAAGATTGAGAACCCGCCTATCGCCCTGACGCAGATGGTTCCCTCCCCCCTAACGGTAAAAGCCCCCGGAAACGGTCGGCCTCTGCACTCGGGCGAGAATGCAGAGCTTCAGCTCAGATGAAGAAAATTGCCCATAAAATAAAACAAAGATATAGATGAAAGTAATATGTAGGGGAGAGAAGGAAAAATAAGAGACTATTTTTCTTATGATTTTGAGCTCAACATACGGATATATATATAGGGTTGGAAAAGACGTTACAAAACTCGTAATTAATTCCGTAACGTTCCTCATAATGTATAGCCATTATGCTCATTTTAATTTCTAATTAAAGCATATTTTTAATTACAAAATTTATTAGCATTCATTAAGGCAAAATTGCCTTTTCTCCAACAAAATATCCAACAGTCCCCCCCCCCAAAAAAAGGCAATATTGACTGAAAACTCAAAATCAATAAATAAATCAATAATTCACAAAAAGAAAATAGGTTAGGCAACCTTACGTATCGTGAATTCGGGAGAGGTAGCTTTCGGCGTTGAACCTTTTCTTAGTGAGTTCATCGCCACCTGAGGGACATAATGGACTAAGCCTTGAATTAGGCCCCTTGAATCAGGTATTGATAAAAACACACACGATACGTCTTCATCTATTGAGCAAAACGGGTTGAGAGTTAAAAGTCATGCTCACAATAAACCGACTCATGAGAGTTTCTAGGGGTCAGCCCTGCCCCCCCAACCGCGGCCATCACGGTTCCTCTCACGTAGGTAAGTCCTCAAAGGGTACTACAGTTGTTTATTTAATACCCCCCACAATACACACGCTGGACTTATTAAGAGTAAAACTCAGCCTAACCAGCTGTATCATAAGAGCATCGTCATCATAGAGAAGGGGTAGTAGCACAAGCTATATAGTGATATATGAATATATCTGGGTCGATGCTCCACACGAGTGTCACTAGTCCAGCTTGTTTCTACCACATTAAAACAACATTGGGACTAAGTCTCCAAATAAAGGTTGGGTTGCCGCTGTCAGTGACCTCATCTATGGGCTTAACCCCATCTCCCTTGATGAATCCAGAACCACACTCCTAGATAATCCCTTAGTCAAAGGGTTAGCAATATTTTTCTCAGACTTTACAAAGTCTAAGATCACAACTTTGCCTATCAGGCGTTGTATTTATTTATCAAGTTCTTAAATTATTTTATAATTAGCCTTCATATTGTTTGAAATTAGGTCACCATCTTGTTTAGTTATTTAAAATTAGTCTCTCCAAGCAAGAGTACAAGAAATAAGAGGAGATATTAATTTCAAACAACTTATAAGGATAAGTCTAATAGCAATTTTTATTTTATTTTATTTGATGGACTAATTTGAATATAACTTCAATGATTTTGAACTTTTATTCATCATATAGAAAGAAGTTATAAGATATACCTCTTGATTTGATTTTTAAAACATTGATTCATCACATCTCCTGTAACTAGACATACTAGTTGACAGAGCATATTTATATCAACTCTAATCATTTCCGGAAATCTCAAGAGAAAGCATTATATATGTAGTAAAATGAAGAGCTATAAAATGATTCTTTTAGTCACTATCAAAACATGTTAGCATAGTTATTGATGTCTCTTGTCAATAAACAATAGATTATAGTAATTAGACATTTTCATTTTAAATGTCTAAACAAATGTAACTGCATTAAAGAGAACTAAAATACTTTAGTTATATCTTCACATGCAAGTATATGCACATATAAGAATAACATTACTAATAGATACATGCAAAGCATTAAAAAGAACCTTATAAAAGGATTTCGTATCTTAAAATATACATCATACTACATATACACAATTTTTTTTAATTTTCCTATTATAAGAGGTTGCAAATTTGGTTGCCTTCAAAGGGACCATACAAATTTAAATCGGTTGCCTACAAATAAGACTTTCCAAATTTAAATTGGTTGCCTACAAAAAAAACCTTCCAAATTTATGTTGTCATTTTCTAGTACTACCTCTTAAACACACAATAATAATAATATTATTATTAATATTATTATTATTATTATTATTTGTACATACGTGCTTTAAATTTTACAAGTGCATTCTTGCATAAAACCTTGTAATTAATCATGTAACAAATGTAAGTAATCTAAAAGGACATATGAACATTTACTGCAATATCCATCATGATGCAATAAAAGAAATGAACTTTACATTTGAAGATTTGAAATATAATCCACCATATAAAATAGAATTTTAAAAAATGCACCTCTTTGATTTGAATCGCTCATATATTGATCATTTATCATTAGGCAATATATGATGCAAGAAGCGTAATTAAATAAATGCATATGAATTTTTCTCATAATTCCGAACCTCTTATTCCAAACCAAAAACTCCTAAAGCGAAAAGATTAAAGTTTTACCCGGGTAGTTAGCCAGGTAAGGATAGTAATAAAGGTTGATCAAAGATCAATTAAGTACCTCGTTCCTTGCAGAGCGCGCTACGCAACCCCTAAACCTTACCTTAGACACCAACTAATTCAAGAAAACTTGAATCGGTTCACTCAATGAGTTTTTGTCCCTTAACATTATATAGAATCTATTGATGTTCGAACCTCATGATTTTCATGTATTGAGAGTAAAAACCCATATGCTGCAGACAACTACCACTTAAGTTGCTGAACAAATTTGCATTCGCTTTTACCACCTTTTGTACTAAGCTTATTAGATGCATAAGCACACCAAAGTATGGAATTATTAATAATAGAAGGTAACATATTGATAGGTTAAAGAAATGAAAGCGTTAAACCATGAAAAAATCCAGATATTTCAAAGCATCTATGCATCCAGAGTTTGTTCTCTTTATTCTTGTCAAAACCATGCATATGAAATTTTCAAGAATAAAAATGTACACTGCTGCAAATTTATAGCATGTTTCAAATGCGTGCATATTCACTAGCACAAGGGGATAATGGTAGGTTTTAGATGATTCTAACAAATATAAACTAGGCTTTTAGAAACCAATAAAGGTTCTTTGATATTCGTAACTTGCAATAGTTATTGATTATAAAACAACTATAAGATAAATATAATTAACTGTTAAATTAAATGAACAGAAAAATTTAACTACAAATTTTTTTAATTTAAAAAAAATAACCAAAACTGTTTAAATGAACAGTAACATTTTTAATGAATGAACAGTAACCTTTTTAAATAAAATGAACAGCACATTTCTAATAAATGAACATTAAAAGTTTTATTTTTGGAAAGAACAGTAATTGTTACATTTTTAAAGAACAGTAACGTTTTTAAAATAAATGAACAGTAACGTTTTTATTTTTCTTTCAAACTTTATAACAACAAATCAATAATACTAATAGATAAACAAATATATAATTAAAGCAATTATATTTTCTTTGTGTGAACAACAACTATAAAAATTCCCTCTGATTTTTTTTTTGAACAGTAACAAAAACTATTTTTTGTTTTTAATTCGGATGAACAGTAACTGTCTCGAATGAACAGTAAGGAATAATAATTTCCAGAGAAGAGGAATTTTTTTCTCTTTAATGAACAGTAACTGTTTATCCGATGAACAGTAACTGTTTATCCGATGAACAGCACCTTTTTTTTTAAACAACAAATTAATAAAATTAATAGATAAACAAATAAACAAAGTAATTAGCGACAACTATTTTGGAATAAACAACAAAGATAAAATTCGGGTGAAAAGTACTTTTGATGAACAGTAACTTTTAAAATTTTTTTCCCCGGCTTAACAGAAATTTTTCAGCAATAATTAAAAGCTATTAATTATAGATAAACTTATTTCGGATTTAATAAATCAACAGCTATATTTCTCAATCTTCTAGATTGTTGGAAATTAAATCAAATAATTAAGATTATAGCATAAAATAAATCTGAAATCAAAATAAATGAGAGATAAGAAAAATCAGGCCTGACGGGAGCAGTCATGTAATCACTACCCTAGAAGATTGAGAACCCGCCTATCGTCCTGACGCAGATGATTCCCTCCCCCCTAGCGGTAAAAGCCCCCGGAAACGACCGACCTCTGCACTCGGGCAAGAATGCAGAGCTTCAGCTCAGATGAAGAAAGTTGCCCATAAAATAAAACGAAGATATAGATGAAAGTAATATATAGGGGAGAGAAGGAAAAATAAGAGAAACTATTTTTCTTATGATTTTGAGCTCAACATACGGATATATATATAGAGTTGGAAAAGACGTTACAAAACCCGTAATTAATTCCGTAACGTTCCTCATAACAAAATATGTTCATTTTATGCTCATTTTAATTTCTAATTAAAGCATATTTTTAATTACAAAATTTATTAGCATTCATTAAGACAAAATTACCTTTTCTCCAACAAAATATCCAACATAATATCCCTCATTCTTACAGCATAGATGAGAAAAAGATGTGGACCAAGAGAACCCACTAACAAACAAATTTGATGGAAGCCAAATGTTTCTTTAAATCCAAAAATGAAGCAAAATATTGAGAAGGATCATGCACCGAACGTTCAAGAGGAAATAAAACAAAATCAAAGCCATTGTAAGAATTCAACCTTGCTGGTGAGAGTACAAGTGTCAATGTCCTAATCTCAGGTAAGAGAATCCAACTTCCGCTCTGAACCCTGAACAAAAATAAAAAAACAATGGAGAACAAAAATTGATTAAAACTCTTCAATTCTCTCTCATGCTCCTACTTAGCCATTGTAAGCACAGAACAAATTCTCCCTTTACCCAAAAAAGGAAAGTGAGGAATGCCCCTAAATGAAGCTCTCATTGCACGAGAACAGGCAAGAGAACAATGAAGGACAAAATATCAGGCATCTATCACTCGCACAGAATACAAACCAAATGAAGCGTTCGTCAATCTGACGAGGAGAAAGAAGGACTCGACGTCGGACTGGCGGGTGAGGTCGAGCACCGAGTGGGAGGCGACGAGGAGGTCGGTGAAGCCTAGGGTTTTGAGGCGGCGGTAGATGGCGGATCCGACGAGGTGGGAGGCGACGAGGAGGTCGGTGAAGCCTAGGGTTTTGAGGCGGCGGTAGATGGCGGATCCGACGAGGCCCCGGTGGCGGGCGATGAAGATCTTGGCCGAAATGTCGGAGAGGAAGGACGAGGGGAATCCTTATCTGCGCAGGGAGAGAGAGGGAGGGAAGGAGTTAGGAAGAGAATTAGGGGGGAAGGGTTTCTGAATATTTCGATTTTGAGCGGAAAAATTTTGGGGGGAAATTTCGATTTTGTGGTGGGAAAACTGGAATAAATATTTTTAATGAGCCAAAAGTAATTCCGTCTAGGATAGCTGGTTATTTAAAAAAAAAAGATAAAAGAACCGTCAAGGATACTATTCTAGACGGAAATTTCCGTTTAGGATGTTTTATTCTAGACGGAATATTCTAGACGGAAATTTTTGTCTAGTTTAATAGCAAACTAGACGGTAAATTTTCCGTCTAGAATATTTCATCTATGATACGTGATTTTCTACTAGTGAATGTTATTGGAAATTTAGTACATTTTGAAAGTTACTGGGGTTTATTGCGAAATGCTGAAAGTCCTTAGGCGGTTTTGTGTAATTTACCCAATTTAATTTTTTACGGACACTACCAATCTCAAGTTTCCATCACGTATATAGACCACTATAGAGAAGGAAAACTAGCAGCCGACCGAGCTTTTTTCCCATTTCTCACTTTTCTCACCCCTCTCGCTCTCTCGAAAATTTCCAGGTACGGGTTTTTATGCATCTTCGAATCTTCATGTGTATCTTCGTTGAGTATACATTATTTTTACATGTCAAGAATTGAGCCATGCAACTGTTGATAGTATCCAGGTTACAATTACGTTAAATCCGTATTTTAAATTTGGTGTCGGAAAATAATAGAGACACACCCCCAACCACAACTCCAACCACACCCCTCTCTCATTTGTTACAACGCACCGGGTCCCACATGGGATTTTAAATTTTTAAAATCTCATGTGGGGCCCAGTGTACTGTAGCAAATGAGAGAGGGAGTGTGGTTGGAGTTGTGGTTGAGGGTGTGCCCCTAGTGCCAGCCTTTGGTGTCTAAGCTAAGAATATGTAACCTGAGGTATAACCTCGAACAATTTCAACATGTTTTAGTCATGCATGAATCAATATTGATAAGGTCCCTCGTATTCATGCCACAACTTTTCGCTCAACTCAACAATATCTGCCTATATTATTGTCTGCATACATTACAAATTGGTACTGCAACAAATTCTATTTGAATATTACTTAGCGGTAATAAATTTGGTCGAGAAATTCTGTAAGGGTGTGTTTGGGAACTTGGATTTGGGCCTGGATTTAAAATCCAGGGTATTTCAAATCCAAATATCTAGTTTGGGTTCTGATTTGGGCCTAGATTTTAAATCAATTGGTTTAACAAAGAGGAATTTGAAAGCCCAAAACAACTGATTTCAAATTCTACCCCACCATTTGTCATTTATCAAATCCTGACCCGATCCTCTCTTTCTTTTCAAGTCGTGATCCCCTCTCTCTCTGGTTTCGATCTCTCTCTCCCCTACCCGTCCGACGTCGCCTCCCCTCGCCTTTCTCCTTCCCCCGCCGCCGCCTCCCCGTCGCTTCCCCGGCCTCTCCGGCCGCCCCCCCATGCCTCTCTCTTCTGTCTTTCAAGCCTGATCCTCCTCTCTTGCGTTTCGCTCACAGCTAATAGATCTCTCTCTCCACCTCCCGGCCCACCCGTGTCTCCTTCCCCCTCCGCCCCTGGGCGCACATACTCGCCAAATCTCCTTTTCCCCGCCGGCGCACCTACAGCCTCCGCCACCCCCCCCCACCACACCCCACCGCCACCACTCGACTCCCCTGCCCTTCCTCCTGCCCATCCCCCCTATAGTCAGAAAATCTAGCATCTAGATCTGATCTAGGGTTATATATAGTGTTAATGTTGGATTCGTTAATTACTTGTGAGACCTTAGATTTCAATCGTAAAGGAAGTCTCACTTTTTTTGAGAAATATTCTGAGCTTATAATTACTTGTGCCCAAGGTGTCTGTGGACTTTTGGGTAAAATTAGGGTTAGTTTCTCTCATTGAGAGGCCCCTCTTTTATATTAATGCATTCTTACAAATAGGTCCTTACAACATTGACTAATTCACTTAGTATCTAAGTAACTCAACACTCCCCCTCAAGATGGGCGATAGATATCAATCATCCCCATCTTGTTACAAAAGATATCATACTCTCTAGAACCTAATCCTTTTGTTAAATAATCAGCTAACTGCTCTTCTGATTTCACATAGCTCAAAAATCAGAACTCCTCTATTCAGTTGCTCCTTGATAAAGAACCGATCAATCTCCACATGTTTGGTGCGATCATGCTGAACTGGATTGTTTGCAATATTAATCGCCGATTTGTTGTCACGTCAAAGTTGTAAGGAGTCTCTTCTAAACAAGTCCAGCTCAGATAATATGTTTTTTTACCCACATCAACTCGCACAGACTAACTGCCATAGCCCTGTACTCGGCCTCAGCTGTAGACCTAGCCACCACATCTTCCTTCTTGCTACGCCAAGATACGAGATTGCCTCCAACAAATACACATTAGCCTGTAGTGGATCTACGATCATCCATACAACCCGCCCAATCAGCATCACAGTAGCCTTCAATTCTCAGATGTCCAAAACTCCTAAACCATAACCCCTTTCATGGGCTTCCTTTAATATATCTAAGAATTCTGCGAACTGCCTCCATATGCTGCTCTCTGGGATCATGCATATATCTACTCACCACACTCACTGCATGAGTAATATCAGGTCTTGTATGGCATAGATATATAAGTCGTCCAACATCTACTCACCACACTCACTGCATGAGTAATATCAGGTCTTGTATGGCATAGATATATAAGTCGTCCAACTAATCTTTGATATTGCTCTTTACTCACCGGGTCCCCACCCTCGACACACATCTTATGATTCTGCTCGATAGGAGTAGATGCACCTCTGTACCCCAACATCCCTGTCTCTGAGAGAAGATCCAGAGCATACTTCCGCTAAGAAAGCACTATACCCTTTCGCGACCTTACAATTTCAATTCCGAGGAAGTACTTCAACTGCCCCAGATCTTTAACTTAAAATTCCTCTCCTAATTTCTTCTTCAACTGTAGGATTTCCTCAGCATCATCTCCAGTGATTACAATATCATCAACATAGACCGTCAGGATAGTGATACGAGTTTCGGAGTGCCTGTAAAACACAGTATGATCCCCATTGCACTGCTTGTACCCCATACTACAAACTGCTAACCTGAATCTGTCAAACCATGCACTTGGAGACTGTTTTAACCCATACAAAGACTTCTTCAACTTGCACACCTTCCCATCTACTTGAGGAGTAGCGAAGCCTTGTGGAATCTCCATATACACCTCCTCCTGGAGATCTCCATGCAAAAAGCATTCTTGACATCTAGCTGATATAGTGGCCAATTGAAGTTGGCAACACATGACACCAACGCTCTAACAGTGCTCATCTTTGCTACTGGAGCAAATGTCTCGTCATAGTCGATGCCATACGTTTGGCTGTAGCCTTTAGCAACCAAACTAGCCTTGTATATGTCGATCTTACCCTCTGGAGTTTGCTTAACCGTATACACCCATTTACATCCAACAGCACGCTTTCCAGCTGGCAAAGGTACCAGCTCCCATGTGTTATTCTTCTTCAAGGCCTGAAGTCGCTCTTGCATGACACTCAACCACCTAGGATCTTGCTTAGCTACCTGCCAGTTGTTAGGTATAGACACGGAATGCAATGATGCAATGAATGACTTATATGCAGGTGGAATGGATGCATATGAAATGTAATTCGCATTGTCAGTATCCCAACTACCAAACTTAGCTGGAGGTTTTCCAGCATTAACTCTAGAGGTTCTGCGGGGCAAGACAGGAGTATTAGAAGTATCAGGGAAGGAATCGTTACCTATCGACTCAGGTGAAGAAGGTGAGGAAGGCATTGGAGAGGAAGGACTTGGGACATCAACATTTGTGGGTACTGGCACAGGCACAGGAGGCGGCTCATGCTGCTGTTTTTGTCTCCTCGTGTACACTCTCAGCTCCCCCTGACCTTGACTGTCAACTCCAGAGTCGCCACCACTACTCTGAGATGTACCATCACTACTCGGTGACTCAAGAGGACATGGAATCATCCCAACCACGATGCCATTCTCATTCCCATTCTCCCCCTCTCTACTAGCATCAGTAGAGCCATCTCTAAACACGGAACTCAACTCCGTCTTCTTCCCATAAAAAGGTTCAAACTCCCGAAAAGTCACATCCATACTGACAAACAACCTTCTTTCAGTGGGACACCAACACTTGTATCCTTTTTGACTTGATGAGTAACCAACAAAGATACATTTAACTGCTTGTGGATCCAATTTACTCACCATCAATCTGTGATCTCTCACATAACATGTGCATCCAAACACTCTTGGTGGAACAACAAAAATGTTCGAGCCTAAGAGCATCTCACATGGTGTCTTTATCCCTAATACTCTTGATGGCATCCTGTTGATCAAATAAGCTGCTGTCATAACAGCCTCACTCCATAAAAATTTAGGCACATTCATTGTCAACATGAATGAGCGTGCCACTTCCAATAGATGTCTGTTCTTACGTTCAACCACCCCATTCTGAGCAGTGGTATCTGGACAGGTGGTTTGATGAAGAATTCCCGAACTAGAGATGAAAGCCGCAAACTCCTTGTTGACATACTCAGTCCCATTATCTGTTCAAAGAATCTTCACCTACACTCCAAACTGTGTCTTCACATAAGCCGAGAAATCTTGAAAACATTTGTAAACCTCAGATTTCTGCTTCATCATGTATATCCAGACCATACGTGAATAACAATCAATGAAAGTAACAAACCATCTAAAACCACTAATAGAGGTAGTAGGACATGGTCCCCAAACATCAGAATGGACAAGCACAAATGGTTCAAAACTTCGAAGACCAA